ATTATCAAGTCCAACATTGGTATTGATACCTATAAAATTGACATAGCATATAACGAATCTAGCAATGTTTTTTAATTTACCTTTCGGGGTTTCTATGTAGATTCATAGATTAAAGCGTTTAAATGTACAGGTATTACTATTAAGTTTGCCCTTTCAACCAGTAACTATTTATTCTACAACTGTGGTTCCCAATTATGAGCGATGTATGATATTACAGATAAGACGGTTCTCATATAATGGTTCATAGAGTTTCAACCTCACAGAAAAACAGGCAGACATGATTTTACAAAATCGCCCTGTATAGCGTGAAATTGAAATTATATCACTTTACTTTACATCTTTCTGGTAAAAAACTGAGGTACGATTAAAAGAATGAGTACGTTACTAGATTATCATGACAGGAAAACTAACCAGCCTTATTTGAGTTAACACAGTTCTGAACTCAGCTGAGACTAACAAATTATATGAAGGCAAATGTATACGTTCTATTTTCTCAATTTTGATTTATGTGGCGAAATTATGCTTAGTGTTTGCAGGTAATTCGTAAGGAAAAACATATAAAATCGAACCTGACATTGATCAATTAATTGTAAGTACATCTCGGTTCTACAGGAGGTCGGTCGCCGCCCGGATAGCTCAGTAGTAACGTCTCTGATTGTTAACCTGGGTGACACGCGATCGAACCCGTCAGGGTGCATCAGCCCCCTCAAGATCACAGGTACACCTTGCTGACGAATTCTAAGTAGCACGAAGCCTAGGTCCACGGTTTCCTGTTAACTACCTCCAACCACCATCTTATCATAACATAGTGCACGCGATGTCGAATAACCTAGACTGATGGCCACATCGATACCTGACCGTAGCTGCTACCTTGACACGGTGGTCGGGCTTTCCTATCGTGATGACCCAACCGAGCTATATTGGCTGGAACATATGTTCCTGTAGGTTCTACCATGCCAGGCAGGTCGATTGGAGAACGGTAAGGCTAAAAGCAGCAACTCAAGGTCTGAGGGCGAAGTCGTACTGCTGACTGTAGAGGGGTGTGACAGCAGTAAGGTGTTTCCCTCGGACAACCAGCATCTGCAGCGGTGCCGCCTTCCCACAAGGAGGGGTGGGGTTAGAAAAGGTCGACCCTAAAAATGTCACACCTCACCTTACCTCACGGGTTTCCTCTCCGGCGATAAGGCCCTTTGAAGAACGGAGCTAACACATTAAAAACCTTCCACAAAAAGGCCGTGTGCGACCGGTCTCAAGCACTTGTCCCTTGGGCTCTGCGGTCACGCTCGCAGGTCGTTAAGGCCAACATTAATCCAACTTCCTTTTCAGGTTCCTCAAGAAATACCCTTCCACGGTGTGGGCATCCGGGAAGTGACATCAGCCCTCATACCCGTAACAGCACACGAGACCAAGTTGGTCACATTCAAACCCTTCCTACACCTCCTAATACCTCTCTTATCTCCATGACTAACCCTTCTCACGTCTTTTTATCATCTCGCACTGCTAGGGCAAACGATTCGAGTACGTGGAACGTTATTCCTGGTCTCCTGAAACCACACTCTAAACTACATGTAGGAGCTTGCAACATCCGAACACTGTGCCAAATAGGACGAAAAGCTTCCTTAACTAGGACTTAAGAATCTTGCGCCATCGATGTGTGCTGCGTCTCCAAAACGCGCATATAGGATCCGAGTAGCGTCATTCATTTGACCTCACCATGTCAAAATAAAGAACCAACTCGATCCACACTTCGTGTATCTAGAAGCCCTGATTCTGCTTCCCGTGACCTCGCTGGCGTCGATATAGCATTGAGTCCTAGGGCAGAACTAGCTCTCTTAGACTGGATCCCAGTAGACAGTCGTTTGTGTGCTGTCCGACTAAACGGAACAGTAAGGACTCGGAAAGATAGGAACACTCGTCGTCGCCTGTTCGCCGTCTCTGCCTAGTCTCCCACTGACTGCAGCTCAGATGATGTAAAGGATGAGTTTTATAGAAAGCTCTCCGACCTTTTCCGAAAAGTTAGGCTATCTGATGTAGTAATAGTGGCTGGTGACTTTAATGCTCAAGTAGGTAAACTAAGCGAAAGGGAAAGACACCTGGGTGGATCTTATAGCGTCGTGGCTCAACGAACAGATAATGGCGACCGTCTGTTGCAGCTATGCTTAGATAACCGCCTCTTTCTTGCAAATACTAACTTTAAGCATAAGGAAAAACATCTTTTAACATAGAGACCCCCTAATTCGTCCCAATGTTGGACCCAAATAGATCACATAGCTATCAGCCACCGATGGAGAGGCTCGATAGAAGACTGTCGCTCATTCTGGAGCACATGCTTAGATTCAGATCATGCTCTAGTGCGAGCGCGTGCCTGCGTCTTACTGGACGTAGGAAAGACGCTGCAAGGAAACCTCTTAGGGTCCTGCTTAATGATAGTCAAGCTAAGAGTATATTCCAGGAACAACTAGAAAAACAGTTAGACAGTCATGTATGTGATGCCCACCCCGATGCAGCATGGAATGATATCCAAATAGCTGTGGAAACAGCAGTGATATCAGCTAGTACGATAAACCACAAGGTTAGGGTGAAACACTGGGTCTCAGCAGCATCTACTGCACTGATAGATGCTCGAAAACTTATTCCATCTGGCCCTGAACATGACGAAGAGCGGAGTCAGCTTAAGCGCAAGCTGATAAGAAGCCTACGCAACGATCCTGAACAGTGGTGGGTAGCGAAAGTAATAGAAATGGAAAAGGCAGCGGCAATATGTAATAGCAGACAATTTTTCAGACTTGTTAAGGAAACCGGAATTAGGAACACGACTGTTAGCGTAACAATCTCAGAGAAAGATGGACATATTATTCATTCTCAATCCAGGAGACTGGTTCGATGGGCAGAACACTTTAGAGACCAGTTCAACTGGCCTTTAGACACACCTCAGTTTCCCACGACATCTAGTCAACCTGAATGGCAAGTTAATGTAGGTTCTCCGACTCTCTACGAAGCTGAAAAAGCTAGGAGAAATCTGAAACGAGGGAGAGCAGCAGGTCCTGACAGGTTCACTCCTGAGATTTTCAAGGATGGTGGTTCAGTATTAGCAGTGAGATTAACTGAGGTCTTATGTAGAATTTGGGAACTGGACGTAATCCTATCTGACTGGTCTCAATCACTAATTGTGCCAGTCTATAAAAAAGGACAAAAGTCCTCTTGTGACAATCACAGAGGAATCAGTTTGACTAATATAGTGTCTAAAATATTAGCTTCAATAATACTTCGACGCCTAACCAAAGCTCGTGAAGAGCAGACTAGAGAAAATCAGGCTGGTTTTCGACCTGGACGTGGTTGTATAGACCAGATATTCACACTACGTCAGATCCTAGAACATAGACACACATTCAGACACCCCACAATCGTGGTATTTCTCGACCTTAAGGCAGCATTCGACTCTGTTGATCGTGAGGTTATATGGCAGTGTTTGTCACTGAAAGGAGTACCAAAGAAGTACACTAACCTTATAAAGGCTCTCTACTCGAACACAACTGGCCGAGTGAGGGCTTATGGCGAACTGTCATCAGAATCGATTACGTCAAGTGGTGTTCATCAGGGCTGTCTACTCTCTCAATTTTTGTTTAACTTTATCGTAGACATGCTTAAATTTACAGGGGTTGAACTTCTACCGGGAGATTCACTTAATGACCTAGAATATGCCGATGACATAGTTTTATTTGGTGAAGACGCTGACAAAATGCAGTCTTCTGACCACTATAAGCAACAATGCAAGCATGTTCGGGATGCGATTTTCTCCCTCGAAATGCAAAATGTTGCTTCAGGATTGGGTTACATCGACACCCGAACTAGTGATAGGGAGTGAAGTAGTTGAGTGTGTCGACCGCTTCATTTATCTTGGAAGTCTCATCAGCCCTTGTGGTCTGGTGTGTGACGAAATCTCAGCACGGATACAGAAGGCTCGACTAGCTTTTGCCAACTTGCGTCATTTATGGCGTAGACGAGATATCCGTCTACCAACCAAATGACGTGTTTACTGTGCAGCAGTTCGTTCCATCCTACTTTATGGCAGTAAAATATGGCCAGTAAGAGTAGAGGATATTCGTAGGTTACTAGTATTCGATCATAGGTGTCTTCGAAACATTGCTCGTATATCCTGGGACCATTAAGTAACGCAGTTGTTAGCAAACGGGTACTAGGTAAGGATGGCAAACCAATTGATGAAGTAGGGAAACTTCATCAGTTGAGATGACTGGGACACGTGCTACGTATGCCCAACCACCGACTGCTTCGATGTGCGATGTTCAATGGTATAGGAGTATGTTGGAAGAAAGCTAGGGGCGGCCAGACCAAAACATGGCACAAATCCATGAAGTCACTGACAAGTGGACTGAGCCATGTTGGTAGGTGTAGACTACCTGGCTGGGATCCGCGAGACGATAGCAACCGATGGTTAGAGACCCTGAATGACATAGCTCAAAATCGTTTGCGACGGCGCAGGCGCATACACTCTTTGTGTTCTCCCAAATTCTAATCTCCTGATTCCTCGTTGTCTCTTCCGAAATCTATTTCACTGGATTATGCTCTTTAAACAACATCTCCAAACCCTAATCTTCCCGATTACCGCTTATACACTTACCACCTCTACCATTACGGGATTTTAATCGATAACTGCATCTCTGTGCTGTGGTGTGGCAGCTCGAACTGATGTACGTACGCACGAAGTCCTACTTTGTTAGTGATTGGACTTAGTCAATAGGATTCGATCCACACTAAGAAGGACCTGACATTGATCAATCAATTGTAAACTCGGGGACTGTTCTATGTCGATCACCAAAAACAGGTGCTGAAATCAATCAAAACTACATGACAGAACGGGGATTTGTCAGAACTTCTTTCGGACAGACAAGTGGTCTGTTTAATGAGTTGCAGTCAAGAAGTACGAAAATAATTTTAGTTTCATGTCAAATGTAATATTTTATACTTTGATAAATACTAGACGCCTACCTTACAGTTTGCATACTACAGACGCATATAAATCGTAACAATAGACATGTAGTTTTCACAAACGAGTAAAAATAATGATAAAATTATTTTCAATTGCAGTATAAACTACCGAACACTTCATACAAGTTCAGTCGACAAGAAACAGATTAGTTATCAGTTAATATCATCACTGAAGCATACAAGGGGTTTATCAGAGAATTTATATCCTAAATTACGGAGTACTTCAGTGATCTATTTATTAATTCACATCTGAAAATTCAATCAAAAACTAAAAAAACATGCTAAAATGTCTCAGATGATATTTTATACATCGATAAAGAAATGTTAACATATAAGGTTTTTGAAGTCATGTTTCGATCAGGAATGTAATCAAAGATATTTATTATCCAGATATAACACAGAGGTGGTACTATAAAATAATCTGAGAAATTACCATAACATTGAAGTAAAAAAGAAGCAAAACTGAAGTTTTTATGTACAACGCGTGGTTTAAGGACACTTCGAAAGACTAAATCAAGGTAGTAGAAAAAGTAGTTATTTTCTAACGAATTGGAGATAAATAAACGAGGTTTGAAATAAACAAGACCAAAATGCCAAATACAAAAATGTTAAGTTATCCAAAATGAAACTCGAAGTGAGCACCTTCAAAGGGATGCATGTGGGAGAATGGAAAACCATTGAAAGGATGACCACCAAACGGGTTTTGAGCTTGCTGTTCAGGATCCAGCGGATCGACTCCATTTTCAAATTGTGTACGTTTTTCTGGATAAATTTAATAATAATAAACAAAACATGAAATAATTCATTCGCTTGTATTAAAGAAAACCCAATGCTTAATATACAATAAAAGTATTCCTAATCACTATTTCGAAGATGGAAATGTCTTGCAAACGATACGACATCCAAAGACGGAGTCTTGGTTAAGTTACTAACTCAGTGATTTAAAACTAGCATACATACACATACTACGGAAGATCATAGGTCAGCAAAACCTGACGACAAAAGTACAAATTGGTTACTTAGATGCTGTTGTGAAGTTTGAATTATTAAAGAACTTTAGATTATATCTAGAAATCTTTTTGATGAGTCATTTTTTAAGATAACTACTGGACTTTAATTGAGTGAAGCTCTTAAGGACCGTGGATATTAACTGATGCCTTCCTAATCATAAATAATACATTATTTTTGAGAAGTTGCAATTTTCGGAGCTTTATTTAGGTAAACTCACCATCATCTGTAAGGACCTCCTTGGCTGCAGAAATTAAAACGAACTTTTTCTCGGCTTGCACTTTTTCTTCGCCCTGAAATTTGTCCGGATGATATTCAGCAGCCATTTTTCGATAGGCCTTCAAAATATCCTTTTTAGAAGCTGATTTGGGCACCCCAAGTATTTTATAGTAATCACGACGGTTGCTTGCTTTTAGAAGCTTTTGAGCCTTCTTCATGCCCTCCTTCGCTTTCTGATTATTCGATTCATGTTCTAAAATTTTTTGGTATGTTGAAATGGCTAGATAGCGAAATAAAATGACATAAAAATTTATTGTGAAATATAAGTAGAAAGATGTATACATTATAATTATTGCTAAATAACCGAACGAATACTATAGCATAAAATACGATGGGACGATAGTTCAGCTATTGTTTTATTATTAAAAAAGCAGGATTAAGCGTAGATATGCATTGGTTACTACAATATACTTTAGCAAAGTTAAAGGAAACTGTCTAAATAATTATAAAACACAATTGTATGTGGGGCAGAAGCAAATGAAAAGCTAAATGTTAAGGTTGAAATAAGTTGCTTATAATTCATATTACTGGGATTAATGAAAAGAGCTGTCACCAAACCAACCTAATTAATATATCTTCGTAACTTGAGATGAAACAAAAATGTAACCTTAGAACGCTCCAAGTAGAAGTGATAAAATGTTTTGTGGATAAGTACACAATGACACTGGAAAACTAGATTACATTTTCACTACCCAGTCAAAACCTATTTATGAAGTACAGATTTAAAAACTCGGCTTTGAGAGATTACCTCTGTGAAGGCCAATAACACCATTCGGTTGTCTCAATTGAATTAGAGAGGAATGAGGTTCTAACCTGGGTACTGCATCTGAATAAGATGGTTGGTTATGTTATTGTTTTATCAAGCCAAGCATATTACTCATCTTTGAGAGGACTGCTAATAGCAAAATGAGATAACATTGTCGAGATATCGGTTTATCAGTTGGAAGCCGAACGTAAGGTATATCACTTAAACATTGGTCAAACATAATTGTCTAGAAGACTAGATGAAAATCGGATGGTGGTATATCTGAACGAAGAATAAATGAATGATAGATGCTAGGAATCATCTATGGACCATTATTACATATGTTCCTATTGGATTAGTTGGGCCACGTGTTACGTATGCCCGAACACCGATTACCATGACGTGCAATGCTAACCGGTGTTGGCGATGGTTGGAAGAAAGTTAGGGCGGCCAAACCAAAACGTAGCGTCAGTGCTTTAAGTCACTAACTTCTAGTCTGAACCATGTTGGTAGATGCAGACTACTTGGTTGGGGTCCGCGTGACTATCGTAACCAATGGTTGGAGACTGTGTGACATGGCTCAGAATCTATCACAATGGCGTCGGTGTATACACTATCTGTCTTCCCTTAAACTAAGAGATTAAAATCGCTTTATATCTTTCTTTCTACGAACTAAATCTTTCTTCCTGTACTTTAACCTTATTGCAATCTTTCTTCTATATATTGCCACAACTGAATTAACTACTTTTATGAATCCGGTGTTCATCTTGTTGTGTTAATGAGGTATGGCAACTTGGACCGATGCATATATGTGCCTGGTCCTACGTTGTAGCTGACCGACTGACTGACTCTTATTGGATTACTATTAAGTAACTAAGTTATACACATATTTATATTCCTTTTATCATAAGCTTTCATTTGACCTATTGGATACTGTTATACGATTTACCACTTTTAATTAATTCCCAATTTATCAGTTACGGTCTCCTATACTCACATCCATTTTTGGCTGTTTGATGCATGATTGATGTAGCACAGGGGCAAGGTCACAAGGATGGATATTCTAATAGGTGATTTTGCCACATGACATTTGACGGGCAATAAGATGTAACAGATGGAATTCATAAGAATATAAAAGTGAATTTAAAATAATGACAATCCAGTGACATCTAGACGTTTTGCTTATGGTTTTTACATTTGGATTCTTGCAACTTCTTCAGAGGGATATGGGAATCCTTATTTTGGCAAAATTATACGAATCTCGGGCCTCAATAAGCTGAAACGGTTGATAGAAACATGTATACTTAATAGGTACATTTTCTAAAATGTTTTGTATGTGGCTAGAATATTTCATAGACCAAACTTGCAGTAGGTTAAGAAGTGAACTGTTAACCTGTGAGATGAATAACTACTAAATCTATTCACTAAATGAACCAAATAATGATGGTTTAATACCACTTAAATCAATAGTCAGAGTAGCTAAAACTGAAATCCCGCTTGATAACCAAATATAAGTCAGCGTATTCGACTTTGGGTAACACCTTTTTGAGTCAATGGTGCTAACCAAAATATAACCAGACCAAAAAATGTGGAATGACTTTTAAAGCTACAGCTTAGTAACTTGAAGTTGTGTTTTATTAGATAAACCACTGCTACATAGATGAATAACTAGAATTAAACGCAGTAGTAAGGCATCACTATACATTTCCTAGATTAAGCATGACTAAGTTATCATTTTGGCTTTACCTTTAAACAATTTGAAATGATAATCACGTTCCGGCTGCCCATATCACAGAGGAATACTTCTTCTTTGGGGACCTGAAAAGAAGGATTGGTTTCCAGTGGTTCTGAAGATGAGTTTAACGACAGTGCCCAAAGGACAACTGCTGAGGTCCGGTCATACAAGACCTTTTACTGAGTACTTTAAGAGGAGTTAGCCCATTAATTAAAAGACCTTATCGCCGGAGATGGAAAGCAATAAGGTAATGTGAAGTGTACCACTTTTAAGCCCAACTTTCTCCAGCCCCTTCCCTTATGAGAAGGGATTATCATTCCAGGTGATGGTTGTCTACAGTAAACATTTTGCTTCTGTCACTTTCCAGTAGTCAGTAGTATGATTTTACTCTTAAACCTCCACCTGCTGCTTTTAGTTTTACCGCTCACCAATCAACCTGCCTGGGATGATAGGACTCAAGTCAACTAGTGTTCCGGAAAAAAACAGCTCGGTTGGACAGGTAAGCCCGACCGCCACGCTAAAGGAGCAGATACCGTCAGGCTCAAGAATTTAAATTAATGGGTTATAGGGTACAATTCTATCTTGTTAACGACAATGCATCGGGGATATGGGATTACTAGCTGTCGATTCAGAAAATTACCAAATATGGGTGAGACAACGGTTGTAACTTGAAATACATAAAACAAATTGCTTGTGCAAAATCTTACCATCCTGAAAACGGTCAGCATTTATATAAGCTTCAGCTTGATAAAGTTGGAATTCAGTACTTTCAGGATAATGTTGAACAACAGATTCACAATACGAGACTCCATCAGCACTTTTAGCCTAAGATAGTTAATCACAAACACAAATACTGTAGAGGTAAAATACAATAATCTGTGATATACATATACACTTCAATTTTTTTGCTTATCAGAACAAGCCATAAAAATAAACTGTATATATTGCGGGTTATACACTAGATTAAGTGTAACCCGACAAACAAAAAATAGATAATCGTCGAAAATATATGCAGTGAAACATGTTAAAATGCAAATAATTGAGAGACTTTACGAGATAACTGGGATATTTAGATAAGAAAACATTAATCATATGAACGAGTGCTATATGCTTTTATAAGTCCTGGTTTCCATGTATTGATAGTAGTTTACAACAAACATCTTAGAGACATTTAAACTTGTCTTTACGATAGATTTTCAAGTAATCGTATTGCGAGTATAAATCGCATACTTGATGCGGAGATGTACGTCAGAGGTCTCAAAATACAGGGGGTTCAAGTTTAACCGCGGTTGTTAACCTAATGAGTTCGTCAGGGTTGCTTATTATGATGACCCGATTGACTAACACTGATTGCAAGACTTATTCCTTAGCATCCCAATATGCTAGAAAAGTCATTTGAAGAAGGAATGTGGGGGTGGTGGGGTTTTTTCACGAATAACCAGCACATTCAGTGAAGCAGTCTTCATGTATAAGGGGACAGGTTAGAAAAAATGGCCACGAAAATAACACCGGACACGAATTATCAGTATCGACTGTCAAGTTGAAGTGCGTAGTCAGCGTAACAAAAACAACTAATAGTGAGAAAGTAGTAGGTGGTCGGCCTTAAGCAGTTGTCTCTATGGTCACCCTCCAAGGTCATTGAGACTAGCACAACCCACTATCCGTGTATCCGGACTTGTTAGTGACTTCTTATGGTTTTACAATTGTAGAGGTAATGTTCATTTTAAAGCCTGAACAAGTACCTGTGAAATAGACTTTAGTCGACCGTTGCTTGTACGCACTAACACTGAACAGAACTGTGAGAAATCGATAACCTAAAAATGGATTCCGGCTTGTTTTCAATTTTTACCTACACTCTAATCTAGTGTAGTCCCGATAAAAAGATGTCCTCACAAAAAACTTTCAAATTTCCTTGAAAAACCCGAGTTCAGATGTAGTCATTGTAACAGGTGTCTCTTGACATTCAAGTGAACAAATAACAACGATCTCTTGTAGCAACTAAGTTCAGGGAATCGTTCAATACCAACCAGTTAGTTATCAACTTACCGTAATTAACGTACGATATAGCATAAATATGCATCGGGACAAGTTGCTACACCATCTTAACATAGAGATGGAATCAGTAAGGTAGGATATACAGGAGTCTAAATAGTAGTACTACCAATCATAATAAATGATTAATTGATTTACTTCTGTACTGATTAGAGATTTCATTTATTTACCTAGTGCTCGACATCTGGTCCCAGCATTGCTTACTTTGTCATTCTACAGTATATTAACAACGCTTAGAAAACACTATTAGATGCTGATAGCCAACGGAAGTCCTCTACTTCGAAAGACGTTTCAGCCATGAAGTAAAATAGAAGATTGGTGAACAGCATGTTCGTCCCTTGGCTTGTAAATGGATGTCTGGGGTACGCCACATATGCCAAACTAGTTAGCCGCTAACAAATTATAGTTGGTTTTTGGGAAACAAAACTACATTATCTACCAATGAGTGTAAAATCGGGATCAACTATTGGAAAGTTGGACGAAAACAGTGTAAGTTCTACGAGCACATGTATTAACAAATTAAACAAGAGTGGGAAAAGCATTTATATTAAGTGCCAGTCCTAAATATATTGAAAGACATTGCTGGTCGAAAAATAAAGACAAGTAAACTACATCGCTATTATTCATCGTTGGAAAATTAGACCTCCCGAAACACACGTTTGGATTCAGACTACACATTCGTGATTTGTCCACACACTAATCGATGCACAAATATGCCAACAATGAAATGGAGGGATTCGAACAGTAAGCACTCGTTAGAGAATTAATTGACTATGAAAGTCTATTTAAAGAAACCCTGACATCTGCAGTAAAACTGAAGTGGTATTAATCTTAACCAGAACGTCATTATAAGGTGCTCAGATATACCTCAACGAACTTTCTGAAGAGCGTAAATAAGACAAAAAGTACCGTGGACATATTATGCATCCCTGAGTCAATGCTGTATACCAAGTACCACATATTCAGCATACTGAACCAATGTATTTTATTCTAGTGTATGATCATTAGCCAACTTGTTGTGGTGACCTTTTAGAATTAAATTTCAGTAAAGTATGTGCTTTCCAACTGGATCTTAAAAGCTGACATATAGGCAAAAACCAAATGAGAATTGATGAGCTTTGCCACGACCTGGAGAAGTGCGTGAACAAATTCTAGAATAAAGTCGTTAGCTACAGATAACAGATAAGGAATTAACATCGTTAGCTAAACTAAGGAGTAAAATGTGACGATTAAGGAAACTCACCAGGAAGGACATTTACTCGCTTAGAGGTAATTGAAACGTCTTGATTATTAGAGAGATTACCTAAAAACTCCCTGTAGATGCTCATTATCGAGAGAATTTGTTTAAAAGTGACATTCAATCTCTGACCTATGTTAAGGCACTGATTCAGATCCATCCTAAAATATTTTGTGCCGATGCAAGTAGCGCGAATTAGACATCGTTACACTGACACTGATTGACATTAGTTCTTAAGGTAGTTATAAATAATACCTGATTAGTCTTGTTTAACTTTTATGGGAAATATATATTGAGAAAACCAAATAAAGCAACAGAGAGCGAGGGACCTTGTGACAGATGAGAGAAGTATTGGCCAGTTTCATCGCTGCAGGTAACTACGCGCAAGATAACCACCAGGTTTCCCAAACCGAAGTGGGAGAATCAAAATCCCAGTCTAAGACTTAATGTCCGACAGTTGAACGCCTTAACGGTTTTGTTACCGCTTGAATATATTTCAAGAAAGAAGATACGTAGCGAGTTAGAAACCATAAGGAAATGTATACACAGGATGGTAAGCCATGTCTAGATTGTGAGTAGACCGGATTGGCATGAAGCATTTTGTAAAATCGAACATTAGACATATTGGTAACAAGTTAAGCATCTTTTAAATTTATAAGACCTAGAGATCGCACATGAATAACTCACTTTTGCATGACAGTGACAGAGGCTAATGTTTGCTTGATTAGCATATTCTGGATTTGAAGACTCGAACTTGACTATCTCTGATGCTTTCTTGATGCAATCAGAGTACCTTTCGGCTTCCAAAGCCTCTTGCGTGGCTGTTATAGCCTTGGCAACCTTATTTACTTTTTTGTAGAGGCTCAAACAGGCTTTATCATCTTGATCAAGCCTGAGACATTCTCGAAGCTCATTGACAGCCTGCACTGCAAACCCGGCGTCATACATTATTTGACTAATTCTCAGTAATCCCTCGCGGTTATCATTGGTCAGATGAACGCCAAATCTCATTTCTTGCAAACCCTGAGGACAATAATTAAGCACAAATATTACCTTTTGCACGTCTCCTAAGCTTAAGTAACACCTTGCTCTCAATTCACGTAGCTCCTCAGCATAGTCGACTGATTCCACTAATTTGTCCAATAACGTAAGAGCTTCTCTGTATTCACTGTTCCCGAACAACTTACGAGCATCTTCCCACTGATTTTGCAGTTTATGTATTTCAGATATTTTGGCGCTTGCGCCAGTATCATGATTTAGCTATGCAATAAATTTTTGTAGTTGAAAACAGTACCACACTCTCATAATCTTCTATGGCTTCTGTCAGCTTCCCCATTCTTAGCTTCACATACGCCCGATGTTTTCTTGCCTGTGAATTAATCAAGGTAACTTATGACTAACAGGAATGAAATCTGGATTTAGCTCCAAAGCTCTATTAAAATCCAAAAGAGACATCCTACAATTAGATAGTGCGATGTATGCTGTGCCCCTTTTGTAGTGGGCCATATAACTATCAGGACTTTTTCCTGAAAAATTACAAGTACTTTCGACATACCGATAGCATCACTGTACAATAACAGAGCTTCCTCAAATTTACCGGATGCTAAAAGTCTAGTCCCTTTCTCCAGTATATCTTCCACACTACCATTAACTGATTGGGTTACTAAACAACTAAAGTTAGGAATAAACATTAAAATACCTATAGTGTAAAAACATGTTATCGTAAAAAAATAATAGAAGGGCGTCCGAACTTTGTAACACATCCGAAGAACGCGGTCAGTAATCTGTGTGGAGTAGTCTGATTGGATGGATTCATAATAATAAACCGGAGAAAACAATGACCAATATTCAACATCGAAATCTATAAACCTTCGTAAGGACTACATTTTCTGAAATATTATACTGATGAATACACAACTTTCCAGCAAAAAATATTTCTGTGCTTAAATTCAGCCTATAAAACACTATCATTTTACTTCGCTATGCCTCTTTCAGCATGACTCATGACTCTAGTTTCAGTTTCAAATTCAGTTTGGGAAGGACAAGAGGCCTGATGGCCTGTGTTAGTCCTGGCAATGGTGGTCTCTCAGTTGATCCAACTTTCTTATAAAAGAGTCGACAGATGGAGCCTCAATCACGTGCTGAGGTAATGAGTTCCACTCGTTGATGATTCGGTGGGAATGTCGATAGTCAGATGACAAGTAATTTGTTCTTGGCTTGTGAACTTTTTTGGAGTGTCCTTGTAAATTCTCTGTTTTGGAAGACCAGAAAAATGAGGGCATATCAAGTGCAAATTTGGCACTAAGCAATTTGAAAACTGTAATCAAGTCGCCTCTAGTTCTGCGATATGACAACGGGAAAAGGTTCAGCTTGGCCAGTCGAGGTTCACACGGAAGCTTCGCTACTCCGGGAATCAGCCTGGTTGTTGTTCTCTGAACCTTTTCCAGAAGCTCACTGTCTTTTTTTAGGCAGGGGCTGGCCGCTTGTATGCAGTACTCAAGTTTAGGACGTACGAACACTGTATACAAAGTCAAAAACGTCTTAGCGTCGACATGACTAAAAGCCCTACATATTGACCATAACGTTCTAGAACCTTTGGGGGCTATTGCACGGCAGTGTGCAGTAGTCTTGGCTAACGATGACTCCCAAGTCACTATATGTCTGGGTGACAGGTAGCTCAGTGTTATTCATCGTGTATGTATCTGTACCTTGATGACCGATATGCATCACAACACACTTGGAAGTATTTATCGGCAACTGCCAGGTTTCAGACCATTCAGATAATTTCTTCAGGTCATTTTGGAGTTCTAAGCTATCACCCTTACATCGTATCGCTCTCCATATTTTGACATCTTCAGCATATAGCAAGACCGATGATGATAGTAGACGAGGAAGGTCATTTACATACAAGAGGAATAACACTGGCGTCAAAACTGTACCCTGGGGCACTCCACTAAGCACAGTTCCCCAGCTAGATAACTTTGAGTTCACCCGTACTCTCTCTTGGCGCCCAACCTAGGAAGTCTTTTATCCACATTAATAGATTGTCTCCAACTCTAACATTCCTTAGCCGGTTGTGCAGAACCTTGTCAAAAGCTTTGCTGAAATCAATGAAGGCCACGTCTTCACATAACTTTTGGTCTTAAAGAGCTCACCATCTTTTACAGGCCACTAATAAGTTAGTGAGACAAGAGTAACCTATTCTGAAACCGTGCTGCTTCTCCGAATGGATCCGGTTTTCATCGAGATACTTAAACAGCTCCTTCCGAATAATCTTTTCTAAGATTTCAACAACCACACTAGTTAGGCTAACGGGGTGGTAATTCTCAGGTTTGTGTTTCGTACCTGTTTTGAAGACAGGACTTACTATGGCGTTTTTCCTGTCTTTGGGTAAACGACCCTGCGTTACGGATAGGTTAAAGCATATACTTAAAGGGTTCGCAACGAAGTTAGATAATTCCTTCAGTAGCCTAGGATGTAATTCATCGGGCCCCGTGGATTTACCTATATCAAGCTTATTTAGTAGACCAAAGACATAGAGTTCTTTAATGGTAGTGCTATCCAGTGTATGTGTGGGGGATCTGTATGCGCTGATGGGAAGGGTGCTTCTATGGTGTTTACATTGCTGAAGTAGTTTGAGAACACTTGAGCCTTACCAAAGTCGTCCTCCACTAGTGACGCGACAGTACTGTCTCCCCATAGAGCAGGAATATTTCCTCTTCTCTTTGTCCTTTGGTTTATATAAGAATACAAGGGTTTAGGACATTCTATGGAGTCCTTAACAATGTTTTCTTCGTACAACTTTTTAGACTTACGGGGGGTCGAGGTACAGGTATTCCGAGCTTTTCGGTACTGGGATTTAGTTTCATCAGTTCCCAGTAACCTAAATCTATCCCACATTTTTCTTCTCTTACGCAGAAGGATGCGAAACTCCCTAATGAACCATGGTGGGGAGTTTCTCGGCCCCCTTGATATAGTCCAAGGGATGTGGGGTGTGGTAACTTTTAGGTATGAATTTCGAAATGCGTCCCAGGCCGTTTCAATTGAGGACTCTGGGTCTATTGTCCAAACTACTAACGATGCTGAGTGCATGATACCTGGTATGTTTGCTTTCCAGACGTTAGTTCTGGATTGAGCTGACGCGTGCTCGTGATTGACAGTTATATGGAAGTCAAAATTTAAAACTGTGACCACTTTTACCTAGGGGTGGCATGTAATGGAGGTTCACAACGTCATCCTCATAGTGAGTCAATATAAGATCTAGTTAGGATGATTTAGTGTCCGGGTCGTACCAAGTCGATTCTTTCACATGTTGCACCAGGGCACATGTGATAACCGCATCACCTAGTTCCTGATCGAAGGAATTATCTGACGATTCAGTTCGCAGATTTTCCCAGTCTACCACTGATGCATTAAAGTCCCCTAGGATTAGACATCGACCACTTTGTGACCAAGTATTGAGACTGCTTAGCAGGACCTCATTTACCCCACAGCTTGGACTGCGATAGACCAAACCAATCAGCAGCTCTTGTCCCTTGCATTTCAAGAGGCAACTAACTAATTCATACGTCCCACTCTCATGAGATGCACTGTCGATAATGGCAAATGGGGTAGCATTCCTAATGAATAGAGCTACTCCCCATCCTTTACGCTTTTGTATTCTGTCGGCCCTTACTAACGTAAAACCCTCGAAATCAAGCTCCATAATATCAACAAACTGTGTCAACCAGGTTTCTGTGACTGCGATTATGTCTGGCTTTGTAGAGTCAATCTGCACACCTAGTTACGATCGCTTATTGAGTAAGCTTCGGGCATTAGTGTAAAAAATCCGAAGCCTATTTAAGTGGCTTCGTGGTTCACCCAGAGTGGCTTCGGCATCATTCTCTGTCTAAGCCTTACAACCCGAAAATTTACTATTTTTATGTCCTTTTCGCCAGCGTCTAACCTAAGTTGTATTTCCTTTTCGGCTTTCCGTCGTTTTACGCGGTCGGCCAACGGCAAGTCCTTACGGATAGAAACTCCTAAACCCTCCAATTTATATCCATTCCTTAAAATTAAGTCGCGTTCATTTTGAGATTTGAATATTACCTTGAGTAAATCGGATTGATAGGCTTCAAGTTCGCTAGACTCCCTAGTCTATACACCTTTAGCAAGGTGACTCCGGGGATATTTTGAGGCATGAGTTGATTAAGTAGCTGTTTTATTAGCACAATGTCATGCTCAAAACGAGCTTTAGGTTCAGAGCTCTCGCTCTCCTTGATTCTATGAAAAATAGCTGATCTGTCGCTCTGATCAGCTTTCGACTTTACGACTACTTTCGCGGGGGTAGGATTACCTTCTATATCGCTACATTTTTTCTTCCTTACAACCTGTACCCACTCGTTAACGGTGCTGGGAGAAGCAACAACAGCTGCGTCAAACCTAGTGTTGGATTCTAGAGGGTTGTCGACGACCTGAGAGGTCAGGTTATGTTTATAGCTTGAAACTGATCGAGCCTTGCGATTGCGGCTTCTAGGCGTTTCCTGTGGGATCCCATCTGGGAGACGGGAAACAGAAGAACCTACTTTCCTTGAGCTTTTGTTTAAGGCAGGCCCCTTTGGAGACTGCTATTCCTTCTTTGACCGGCGTGAGTCGTCTACTGCCGAGCTAACCTTAGTTTGCTTCATGTCGATTTGTGTGTCGACAGATCGAGTGCTGTTTGACGTGTTCCGACTACGCTTGCTAAAACACTTCTTTGCAGCATCAACCAGTGAGATGGCCCCTGTTAACAGGCTGTTTGCATCCGAACAGCACTGTTGACAAAGCCATACACAACCCTTCTTGCTGAACCGTTTGAAAGCCGCAGGCGTTAAGTTCGTGCAAACTTCGTGGTACCAGCTTTTGCACTCGTCGCACCGCATTCCGCTTTCAACGGGATAACGACAACCCGGACGTTGGCAACTGCTTTTTTTTACACTATCCGTTCATTTAAAAGGAGTCCTTTTAAAAAAGGAACGAGATGCGATGATACTCAGAAACAAAAAAATAATCAATGACCAAAAAGTGAAGAACTGTAGATTGTTAGGACCAAAAGTACTAACAGATACAATCGGAAATGAGGTACTCAAGAGCACCAACGACAAAACTAATTGAGAGAACGGTAAAAGCGGTACTCTAGTCGAATACTTTAACTGAAATGAATTCAATTAAAGTGAAAACCGTGGTCTTGATACGTAATAAACGATCAAAATAATGAAATTTACTCAGCGAGGAAAAATACCACTGTCCTTTTTAAATATTGTCCTTCGTACGCTTACTACAGTTATGTCGTTATAAAAGGGTTACGATTAAAAACTCCAGAAATCGGATGGTTAACGAATGAAAAACCCTGAAATGTAGTGGCGTTCTATAAAACTTGGCAGTTGTTTTTACTTTGATAGTTCCCAGCTGTTTCGTAACGACTTTTTTGACACAGTTGATGAGAGGGTTGTAATTTACATATCTACGAACCTACTTCTTTGAAAGTTCACGAACCTTTATCCCCGCGAGAAGTCATCTGGATGTTCTGTGATGCAACAAGAAGGGTATTCGCGACTCTTCTCTGGTAGGTCTACTTAATAAACAATTGGGTATTTCAGCTTCTCCAGAAATTTTCATTTCTTTGAACTACCAGAGGAGCCCCCTAAGTAAATTCTTACACGTACTACATTTATGTGGCTTCAAAGTTTCTAATCTCTTCGCCTTTGGTCATGACTGTGAAGTGACCTACTTTAATCAAGAGAATGAGATTGCTGTAGTGGAAACAATTATTATTATAACCAATTTTACGAGGGATTGC